GCAGCAGCAGCAGCAGCAGCAGCAGCAGCAGCAGCAGCAGCAGCAGCAGCAGCAGCAGCAGCAGCAGCAGCAGCAGCAGCAGCAGCAGCAGCAGCACAAGGAGCAGCAGGGGCAATGATGGCAGCAGCAGTGGCAGGTGGAAGCTGGAAGGGGCCGTTGCCAAACAGGAGCTGTAAAAGATTCAAGTTATGCTAGGAATGGAGGGTATGCGCTTTAGCTGCTGCTGCTGCTGCTGTTGCTGCTGCTGATGTTGCTGCCGCTGCTGCTGCTGGAAGGCGAAGGACGTACACGTAAGCGCAGCGGTTACCGTTGCCGTTGCTGCTGCAGCTCGTTGTCGCTCCTTGCTGCAGTTGCACACACCACCCCAAACCGTAAACCCTAAACCCTAAACCCCAAACCCTAAGCCCTAAACCCCAAACCCTAAACCCCAAACCCTAGACTCTAGACCCTAAACCCTAAATCCCACTGCCCCCAGCGCAGCCGCGCAACCTAGACCCCAGCCGGCGGCCCAGGCCGCAAACCCTACCCGCCTGCCCAAGCCCCAAAACCTAAACCCTAAACCCTAAACCCTAAACCCTACTTTTAGGCCGCAGTAGCAGCAGGGTTTGTCGAAGGCAGTCCTGGCAATGCTGCGGAGAGACTCCGTGGGAAGAGCAGCAAATCGGGGAGGCACTAAACCCTCGGCGCAGACGCAGTGCACCCACTGCGCGCAGCTGCTGCTGCTGGGGTCTGTGGGGTGCGCGCTGCGGCTGCTCCTGCAGCAGCAGCAGCAGCAGCAGCAGAGGGGGGGCGCACGTTGGGTGGGGATGCATGGGCAGCAGCACCGACGAACCAGCAGCAGCAGCAGCAGCAGCAGCAGCAGCAGCAGCAGCAGCAGAGCCAGCAGCACAAGGGGGGGCGCGCGTTGGGTGGGGGTGAACACGCAGCAGCAACAAGTCACGAACCAGCAGCAGTAGCAGCAGCAGCGGCAACAGGAGCAGCAGCAGCAGCAGGAGAAAGACCAAACCAGCCAGTAGCAGCTGCGGTGACTAACAGCAGCACTATCGGTACTGCTACCTCCATCCGCCTGGGCAGCAGCAGCAGCAGCAGTATCACTCAATGCAGCAGCAGCAGCTGCAGCAGCAGCAGCTCACCCTGCAGGCTTCTGGTCCACCCTCTTGAGCAGCAAGCCATCAATTCTGCTGCAGAGGAGACACCGAGCAGCAGCAAATGAACTCAACTCCCCCGAAAGGAGACAAGCGCAGCGGGGGCAAACCCAGGCTTCTGCTGCTGCTGCTGCTGCTGCTGCTTCGTCGCTGCCCACGCTGCTGGGGTCGTCCGCGGCCGCCGCGGCTGCTGCGGCCCCCAAGCCTGCTGCTGCTGCTGCGGGCCCCGGACCTGCTGCTGCTGCTGCTGCTGCTGCTGGGGGTTTGCTGCTGCCGTCTCTCCAGGCCCTGCGGCGCTGCAGCCGAACTGCTCTTGCTGCTGCTTCGCTCAAAAAGGAGACAGCAGCAGGTTGTCTCTCGACAGTCCCCCAGCAGTTTCTGCAGACTTTCACGTTGCAGAACTGACACCGCTGCAGCAGCAGCAGCTCCCCCTCCTGCTGCTGCTGCTGCTGCTGCTTCTGCTGCAGCGGCCAGGTTGAGCCCACACGGTTGCACAGGGAGCAGCAGGGACTTTTGTTTAAAGCAGCTAAACGAGAAAGAACGGAGACACTTAATTCTATCTGTCTCCCCCCCTCCTCTGCTGCTGCTGCTGCTGCTGCTGC